ATTCCCCTTCAAACTCACTTCCCCACTACTTGGGGGGAATCACCAGCTGGTATCTTCTTCCTGAGGGGTGCGCCACTACTCTTCCCTCCCCTGGGAGCATTTGCCTTCTGGCTGCTTCTGACCAGTGGATGCCGACTTTGGCTGTTGTATTTTCTCTGCTTGTGGTCTTGTCTGCTTACCCTTGGCAGCAGCCAACATGCTCTCGGATTCAACCTGTATCATCTGGTTGGTGGCTTCCCAAAGTTGTAAGACTGCAGGAAAAATAATGTACAATTATTAGGTTTGTACAAACCCGTTTGTTTACCTAATAATACCTACCAAAAATCCATGGAAATAATAAATTTCATTTATTACTCGTTAGGCTTAATTACAGATTACAGCCCCAAACAGAAACTATTAGAGAATATACCCTGGTTCACAGAGAACACCCTAGGGTAACATTCTCTAAGTAAAAAGGCCTCGCCTATAGGGTCTTCCCCCAGGGCAATCACGCACCGAGGCCTGTATAATTTCTTTTTCACAAATGTTTCTGGTGCGCCACAACGAACCGCTAGGAAGCTTGTGGGGGAGGTGAGCAGTTTCCACTGAATTTCTGGTATGATTAGTTAAACAACCCTAATAGTTTATTACATCTACTAGAAATCCGTGGAAATAATAAATTTCATTTATTACTCATTAGGCAGAGGTGGGGAAGCTCTGGCGGCTGAAATGCACATTTTTGACACAAAAATGCAGTAATCGTCAAGAGAATTATAAAACTACTCACCAACAAGGAACCATTCCTGGGATACAACCAATCAGGTGACTCTTCAAAGACTGAGTGCCTCAAGATAGATCCCCAATTTAGGGAGGCTTACTAAAGTCCCACAGATTCCAATAAAACTGGGAACAAAACTGACCGATATCCAAGAATCGTCCATATAGATTTTGCTTGATCAAAGAAAATCAGCTACCTCGCTAATAGAGGGACTGAGATGATCAATCTCCTTTCCGTTACACTAATCAAGGTGAAGTCTCCATCTGGACTCGTACAAACGTTTGGTGCCATACGACTGTGCTGAAGCAAGGAACTTGGACAACTCTGCAGAAACTCTGCAGGTGGTGAGCCGATATCTTCACTTGGTTTTCCAGGCACCAAAGGAGCATCTACTCCATTAGCTTTGACAACGTGGGGGAATGTGTCCCCCCACTCCTTGTTGATGTATTACACTACTGAGTTGCTGTCTGTCTGAAGCAGGACTCTGTGGTGGTGTGCGACCTCATGAAAATGTTTCAGAGACAGTAGGACCATCTGCAACTCCAGCCAATTGATGTAGTGGCCCGCATACATGGTCGACCACATCTCTTAGAATTGAAGGTCCATCAGATGTCCGCCCCACCCCTGGGGAATTGCATCTGTAATGAGAGTCAGCGAAGGAGTCGTCAGATCTAGGGGCATTTCCCTTTCCAAGTTCCGGGCGTTCTTCCACCAAGGGAGGGTCGCTAGAGCTTGGGCCCGACAATTAAATCCTGCACATCAGGTTCCGCATGTGGACCCTGTGGTCCAGTAAGCACCTCTGAATCGGGTGAGACCAGAGAGCTGCTGACGGAACTAAATGAGGAACTTAAGTCATTTTGCCAATAAGGTGCATCAGTTTGCGCATAGAAGCTGATCCCATCAACAGGAGTTGGCTGGCGAGCTCTGCAAGGGAGTCGCACCACACCTGAGAGGGGCAGACAAGCCATTGCTTTGTGTCAGAAAAACTAGGTTGCGGGACGGTGTTGGGTTGAATATTCATTTAAAAGCCCAATTCGTGGAAGAACGTTTGCGTCCATGCTCTGCTAACACCTTCGTGTCTCGGTTGTGTAATAACCAGTTGTTGAAGTATGAGTTCAGATAAACTGAAGACCAGTGTAGCAGCTGGGTCACAATGCACAAATCATAAGGGAGGGGAATCTGAGATACCAGCTGTATGAGTGGTGAATGGGGATGTGCATCGCTCAAATCCAACGATGCACTGACAGAAGTACCAAAGCTGATGTTTCCATGCAGAAGCGATTGAGTTCCACAAACCCGTTGAGCCGACTGAAGTCTAGGACACGACAGGACGACACTTGCCCGAACTTTCGGAAACAAGGAAGGTGTGAGAATAGAACCTGGAACTAAATGGGGGTTCTCCACTAGGCATATCTCCAGAAGGCTGACTACTTCCTGACAGACTGTCTCGGTCTTGACCTCGTCCTTCGCGGAAGACCAGAAGGAGGATAAGGAGTCAGAGGAGAAGGAAACCGAAGAGGATCCAGGGGTCGTAAACTCTCCTGCGCCAAGCTGGTGTGTGCTGCTTGAGGCACAATCCTACAGTAAGAAGCAGACTGGGGTTTGTAACTAGAGCTCCCCTAACTCCAGCTGGAATCGTACCACCAGCCATGCCAAGGCAGCTGGCGAAACCTTCAAAGTGACTTCCGGCTTCCTGGTCCTCAGAAATGCTAGAATGTCCACCAGAGCCACGGTTCTTGGGCTTCTTCTGACATTTCCCACCACTAGTCATCTTCTGCCCCTTAAAGGGAGACCATGAGCGCTTTGATCCTCCATGGTTTTGTTCCTGAGCGAGGGACTTATTGCCTGAGCCACCCTGCAGTTTTGGTTTGAACTGCTGGCCAGGACTAGCTACCTTGGCCAACAAGGGCGATTGCTTTATATGGATACGTTGATCCTCAGCAACCGCCAAACCGTTCACCATATAAGTTAACCTGCCACTAAAGAGCCGGTCATTCCCCAATGCCTTCTTCGCAGGCGATAAAACCCATCTCCAACTAGAGTAGGACTGACACAGAACTGCCTCCCGCTTGACCAAAACTGCTCCTGCAAAGAGGGTAACGCTCTAACGCCAAAGAAACCCATTCTAAAAAAATTGATTGGTTTAAGTTCTGCCTGTAGAGCCTTATTTACTTGCAGGATCTGGTGTCGGTCAAATGACCACGCAACATGGCCTTCCCAATCAGCGCAACCCGCATTAACAAACGCATAATTTGTAATTTGGGCACTACCTTTCAGAAAAAGGGTCCTCCTCCATAGAAGAAGTGGACGCTCCCTTTCCCACTAATGTGAGTTGTCCCCGATCATCTAAAGAAGAGACCAAGGGGAGGATGGGTCACACTGACCCAAGTCCTGGGGGAGGGGGACAGGCACTACAGCCTGGGGGCGTTCCACCGGACCCCCCCCCCCAATGTCCTCCTGTGCCGTACCCTGCAACTGCAGGAGGGAGTTCACCTTGAAGGCCAGATCAAACATCCAGGCCTTCCAAGCCATCTCATCACCAAGGGAGGAGCTCCTTTCACTCGACTAACATCGGTAAGCAAGCAACTCAGGCTGCATCAGTAACAATGATGTCACGGTGGATTGAACCGGTTCAGCCCCTAAGGACTGTACTGATCCCATCTCCTTACTCAGCGTCGATGTCAGCGCTCCAGTAGGAATACAATGTATACCGATGTTGCTATCTGCAGAGATTGGCAACTCTGTTCCCCCAGCAAAAGCGATGGGACGATGCATGCCCGCCCTGTTAATATCGCATGGACAAACTGACTCCACACTGGGAGAAAGTCCAAGGTAGCACCTCCATCACCTCAGAGATGAACGGCTGTGATGTCTTGCTTTGATCGTCGATCCTGCTACATTGAGCAGGAGTCAGACTATGGCAACTCTCGATCTCCTTCAGTCTGTGATAGAGGGCAAGCCTCGTCTCGGTCACTAATACACTTGAGGGAAAAACCAGAGTCCTGCATGCAACCCAGACAAGAGTGACAACACATATGTGGGTCCCAAATCTGCATTACTAAGTGGCAAGATGAACATGTCTTATGTGTTGACGATTTTGTCAGCTTGTTCTTGAAATGAGATCGTGAAAAAACAAGAAAATTAATTCACCCTCCAAAAAAGGAATCAAAGCGAATTCAAACTGATTAAACAAAAACAGGCAAAACTAGGGCCCTAATAATGGAAAGCCCTTACTGTGATGTCGGAATTGTTGGAGTTGATTGTCAAGCACATCTGCCTCTTTTGTCCAGTAAACGCTGTAGCGGAGAAAAGAGAGAATGAAACTATACAGACCTGGGGTGCATGAGTGCTCTGGGGGTGACCCCTTAGGCGAGGCCTTTTTCATTGAAAATGTTACCCGAGGGTGTTCCTGTGAACCCAGGTATGTTCTCTAATAGTTTACGTTTGGGGCTGTAATCAGTAATTAAGTCTAACAAGTAATAAATGAAATTTATTATTTCCAAGGATTTACTGGTAGGTGGTGTAGTAAACAAAGCATGATTTTAGAATCATTATCATCATTAACCCCGGGTCAACACTGCATATGTAATTCATGATAGATATCAGATAAACAATTAAGTCCTAAAATTCATCTACCACACATACATAATACCATGTACTAACTGAATCAGAGTTTTTAAATTACTGGATTTTACCTATTACATAAAATTTTGAATTTGATTTGTTGTCATAAACAAGTGACAGATGATATATGCAAATGTTTAAATTCCTGTAAAGTGTTTGCAAAGTATTCATAGTAATTACAGTAATGTTTAATAATTACAGTTTTGTATAATATAATTTATATAATAGAAACAATAAAAATAAGACAAATATCCATTCAAATTACTAAGTTCTATATGTATTTTTCACATTTATACTTAGGTAATCTTCAACATTTTCATGTTCCATTACGAGCAATAATAATGCTATATTAAAAAAATGAATCTATACAAATATTTACAAGGTTTGTTAATTTGTCTGGTGTTAGTCAGTTATATCCTATATAGATAATAGATAATACATTAACATAATTATGTATTATTAAGTAGAATATTGTCTGTACTGCATCCAAAAGACAGAATATGTACATAGTATTAACATGCTGTTTTTTGTCAGCGTTTGGAGAAAAAATTGAAATATTATTATACAGATATACAAAGGACTTGATTATATGTTAATGAGTTTATTAGCAGCCTTTCCTTCAAGTAATCATTAGTTGATCCATGAATAAGATAAAAATCCATTATCCTTCATGAAATCGCATCGTGTTTTATTAAAGCGATGTGTATATTTGATATCATGTGACAGTAACGCGGTACTCCCTAGCCCTGTCCATTTTAACCAATTATCATCTGGATTGCCAGTCTGTGCAAAACTTGTTAAGTAGACCTGCATACGATCACGAAATAACCTATCATCAGAATTAGGCTCAATATACTGATTCATGGAGTCAAAGAAGCCCATCATATCCCATCCATGGAATGCATACTCTGCACCAAATCCAAACCAGTGTACAGGTTTGCTTGGACGTGCTGTTCCAACAAAACGATAAACTGGTGATTGAAATTTCCTACTGGCTATATCGGTGATTTCATCATTTCCACATGTAACACGTATATCAGATGCCATAGTTGTGAAGGATAATTCTGGTGTTGAATATCTTTGGCTTGGTGGATATAGTTCTAATATTCGATCACTCATCGTGTCATCAAAACTGTCAAATTTACCTGATAATTGTAAATAACATGATATCTGTAAGCTATTCATAAGTTAAGATTTAAAGTTAAAGACACAATAGAACATGTTGTGTTGTTCTATGCTGTATATGACAAAACAATACAGCACAGCACATATATAGAAAATAATATTTGGTAATCGTAGCCCTAAATAACTATTAAAAAAAGCTAGACATTTCGAGCAATGGCTCTTTATCGATAGCATAGAAAAAAATGTTTTAATTTATAGTTTATAGACTGCCAATAAATTTCATAATATCATTATATAACATTAATCTATCATATTTTACTTTTTCTGGAATATTAATGTCAAAAACATGTTTGTGTCACTATTTGCTATTCATATGTAGTGGCCTAAATAATAGCATCTCAACAATTTTCACACAAATACAATTTAGGATAATGAATATGATATGATAATGAATATGATATGATATCGAATAAATGAATAAACATGACTATGACACAATGTAATTGCTTCAACTATTATCTAACCATGCAATAAATAACAAGCAGCCTGTCGGCTGAGATAGCTCCACTGTTAGCAATGCACATTTCAATTAAAGAACTGAAGATATCATTAGAAAATGAACAATATGTTAGTATCAAAGCAGTCGGACATACAAAGATATCATCACGAAACGAACAAATCTGAGAGAGGTCCACATGTAGTACCTATATATGTAATATCAAGAAGTTGAAAATATCACTTTTTACCAAAAATGACAAAAATATTCAACAAAATTAGAGAATTGAAGATATCATCATGAAATTAACAAATCTAAGAGAGGCCAACCCAAGGTACATATACACTAATTATAAAAGCATTCAGGCTTGTAGTTTTCAAGAAGTAAAAGTAAAACATTGACAATGAACGCCAACGGACAATCACTCATATGATAAGCTCCGCAAAGTTGACAGCGGAGCTAAAAAAGTGTGAACAATTTTAAACTCCATTTTTAATTGTAAAGCTTTAATGACCAGAAATTAATTGTATACTTACTTCTCACGTATATTTCATAGTCATGCCAAGTCCAGTCTTTGATTTGATCACCAACAGTTGGATAGATATCTATTTCCTGTGCCATTGAACCTACATTGTATCAAATATAATGTCAGCTTCAAATATAACTTTGACTTTCAATTAACAGTTAATAACAGTTAATAAGAAATGTACAAAACTGTAAAATAAATGCCATTAGATAAGTTCGAATAAAACGCATGCACATTTATATTTCAATTGCTGGATTCTTGTGCATTTTTACAACTGCATTTCGAGTCAAACTGTAGGCACTAGGGATTGCCACAAACCTTGATGCAGGCAGCACCATTGATATTAATTAACAGCAGAATTGAATTAGGTATTTTATACCAGTCATAATAATAAAATTTAACAAGGCTAAAAAGGGAACTGTCAGTTATCTACACAAAGTTCGGCTATCATGCATGTCTGATACACATACGGATCAGCCTGAATCAGTAAAGTGGTATTGTGGTTGGTTTTGTACTAGTTGTCAAAAATAACATTTTTTACCAAAAATGACAAAAATATTCACTAAAAATCCAAATTTGCATATTTTGACTCAAACGTAACAAATCTGACAGAGGACCACCCCAAGTACCATTGCTACAAATATCAAAGCATTTGGACTTACGGTTTCGGACTAGTTGTGGAAAATAACATTTTTTACAAAAAATGACAAAAATATTCACTGAAAATCCATATTTGCATATTTTGAGACGAATTTAACAAATCTGGCAGAGTACCACCCCACGTATCCTTGCTGCAAATATGAAAGCAATTGAACTTGCGGTTTACAACTAGTTGTCGAAAATAAAAAAAATTACCGGTACCAAAAATGACAAAAATATTCACTTAAAATTCAAATTTGCATATTTTGACACTTACTAGTATTTGACAAATCTGACAATGGACCACCCGACGTATCATTGCTGGAAATATGAAAGCATTTGGACTTACGGTGTCGGACAAGTTGTCAAAAATAACATTTTTTACCAAAAATTACAAAAATATTCACTAAAAATCCAAATTTGCTTATTTTTAAACGAATTTAACTTAGGCAGCGGGTTCTCCGAACCCGCCTATTCACATAGTTCATACCCACCATAGACTGCGGTCAGTCAAAATGACTATTTTGAACTGTAGGCATTAATCAGCGATTTTGCCGGTGACGGAGAGATAGAATCTAGGTCAGGGGAAGCCCCATGACCCCAAGATTCTTTTTCCCTTATGGCACGAACCACGTGACCGAGGCCATATGGCAGCGCCATTACGTATGGACAATCACTCTGCTTTCTTTCCACCGATAGATTGGGTGTCTCTTAGGTAGTAGTTGATAAAGACGTTCTGCGTTCTCCAGAAGCCTGCCCTCAGAATGTGTTCGAGGGGGCGCCTGACGTTAGCACTAGTGAGTTAGCAATCACATGGAACTCATGCGCTCGTACTTGTCTGTGTTGAGGAGGATAACGTATTATATATCTCCAGCACAGTCGCAGTAATCCACTTGGCGATGGAGGCCGGCTTATCCTGTTTGCCAGGGCCGTAACACCAAAACATGTGTTTGGTTCCCTGTCCGGAAAACTGGGTACGGTTCTCGTAGCAACTCAACGCTCGAACGTGACAGAGAAGCAATTCTTCCTGATCCTCCAGACCGACAATGTTTGACAGCCGGGGGATGACGATCAGCTGAGGATTGTGTCCTGGGATTTGGTTCTTGGAGAGAAATTTGATTTGTGTCTTTAGCACAACTTGAGTGGTGCTGAATGGAGGGGCTCGAAAAGTGGTCTGCTTAGGGTTGATAACACAACTGACAGATCCCAATTGGGTGGTTCCCTTGTACAGGTTCTCGGCCTCTGATTATGGAAAGCAGTAAATAATAATGGGACAATCGGCTAGACTTGACCCCAAAGAAGCACATACTGATTTAGTCTGCTTAGGTTTTGGTACTACGAATACATTTGAGTAGAAGCCCGGACTCAGCAATGGCTGAACTATTCTGTGTATGGCGCCCTTTCTTAGCAAACTGTTTATTTCCTGTCTGATTGCTTCCACCTTGCGAGGATCTCCTGGCAGTGCCCCCAATGTAGAGGACACTGACAGGGGCGGTGAAGATGTCAGTGGTATTCTGTACCGAGTGTCACTACCTGGAGCGTCATGAGATCGGTTACAAGCAGCCTCCAAGCCGGAGTACACTGGTGCAATCTGCGTGTGACAGGGATCTGTGGCAATGGGTTCGGTGGTTGCAAGAGAGGGAAGTTTCTCTTCTCCCATGGAGGTAAGCTTCCCTGGAGACCACTGGAGTTACTAAGTTGTAACCTGGCCCCTTGCTGAACATAGGCCCATCCCGCCGTCGCATGCTTCCCCTGCTGCCGGGGTTGACGACTGCCCAAAGAGGAGGAGCCACCACCTGGTCCTCTCTTTCCCAGAGGTGTGCTTCTATTCTTCCCTCCCGCAGAAGGATATAAGTGCTTGCCTCCTGGCTGACTCTGCCTAGCGGACAAGACAAGAAATACCCATCCTACCAGCTAGAATGTCAAATGCCACGGCTGCAGCAATAACCCACGCTAGAAACCCAGACAGGAAAAA